AATTGTTTGGCACCAGAGGCCTAGCTTTCGGCCTGTCTTGGCTTTCAACATGCTTTCCTTACTAAACTTAATCATTTCTAGTTTTTATTTAAAGTGAGGGACATGTGATTCTTCCTTTCACTTGAACCCTTAGAGGCCATTGTAGGGTTATCAGTTGGCCTAATTTCAATATTGTGTCTCAGAGAACAAGGAGACCCAAGGAGATGGAGAGAGCTGGGGGAATAGCTGGTCAGTGGAGCACTCAGAACACACGCATTTATTTATTAAATTCTCCATCTTCTATAGACGTGATTTGTGGTGCCCTAAAAGTTACAATAGTAACATCAAAGATCACTAATCACAGATCACTATAAAAATATGTTAATAAGGGAAAAGTTTGAAATAGTGCAAGAATTACCAAAATGTGACACAGAGTCATAGAGTGAGCAAATGCTGTTGGAAAAATGGCACCAATTTGATCTTCAAAGCACAATGAAGTGGAGTGCAATAAAATAAGGTATGCAAGTATCTTAGTTAATAATAATGTATCAATATTGGTTTGTTAATTTAAAAAACCCAAAATAAATCTTACAAATAATGTAAGAGAATAATAGGAATAACTAGGTGCAGGCTATATGGGAAATCTCTGGACTGCCTTAGTAATTAAAATCAATCTGATCCAAATTTAAATTTTGTTTTCTTTACAGTAGTCTACTGAAAGAGAGTCATCATTTCTCTCCTTTAAATGCTAGAAATTCAGTTTTGTTTTGTTTTGTTTTTTTGTGGCCAAAGATAATGTAAAGTTAGACTACTCTGAGGGAACTGTCGGGTTATTATTGAATCATAAGGATTTGTTGTTGTCAAATATGTGTATGTGTGGAGGTGGGGGTGAGGGTAAAGTTTGTTTAATAACTTCATTTTGGAAGAATTACTATCCTTTTCGGAGAGCCTTAGATTTCAAATGTTTCAAACCTAAGTCTCAAGTTTATTCTTGTTAAGGAAAGACATTTAGTTTTAGGCACTTAGGTTTTTATTTTTTCAAAGAGAATTCTTAAGGTATACCTTTTAAAATAGTTTATGTACTCTCCTATAATTTTGCCTTGGTATAAAAGAGATCATCACATCATAAGAGTATTTTCAACCTAACAGAATTATTTTTTGCAAGACCTCTTGAAAATTCTAACTTCTTCACTGAATTGAAAATGCTATTAGACTTTATTATGACCACTTAGGGGTAACTGGAAGTGTCCTTCTAAATTTTTTTTCCTATTAATGTCATGTTTTTTTTAATTTTTTTATTGTTATGTTAATCACCATACATTACATCATTAGTTTTTGATGTAGTGTTCCATGATTCATTGTTTGTACATAACACCCAGTGCTCTATGCAGAACGTGCCCTCTTTAATACCCATCACCAGGCTAACCCATCCTCCCACCCCCCTCCCTTCTAGAACCCTTAGTTTGTTTTTTCAGAGTCCATCATCTCTAATGGTTCGTCTCCCCCTCCGACTTACTCCCCTTCATTCTTCCCCTCCTGCTATCTTCTTCTTCTTTTTTTTTTCTTAACATATATTGCATTATTTGTTTCAGAGGTACAGATCTGTGATTCAACAGTCTTGCACAATTCACAGCGCTCACCATAGCACATACCCTCCCCAATGTCTATCACCCAGCCACCCCATCCCTCCCACCCCACCCCCCACTCCAGCAACCCTCAGTTTGTTTCCTGAGATTAAGAATTCCTCATATCAGTGAGTCACATGATACATGTCTTTCTCTGAATGACTTATTTCGCTCAGCATAACACTCTCCAGTTCCATCCACATCTTTGCAAATGGCAAGATCTCATTCCTTTTGATGGCTGCATAATATTCCATTGTGTGTGTGTGTGTGTGTGTGTGTGTGTGTGTGTGTGTGTGTGTGTGTACCACATCTTTATCCATTCATCTGTCGATGGACACCTTGGCTCTTTCCACAGTTTGGCTATTGTGGACATTGCTGCTCTACACATTGGGGTGCACGTACCCCTTCGGATCCCTACATTTGTATCTTTGGGGTAAATACCCAGTAGTGCAATTCCTGGATTGTATGGTAGCTCTATTTAATGTCATGTTTTTTTTTTCCCTAAGAACAGAGTAAGGTGTTCTATGTTATAAAGACTTTTTTTTTTCTCTATAGCTATCTTATAGCCTGACTTATTATATCTGGTAGGGTAATACATTTCCTTCCAACCTCTAGTGGGTGAAGTTCATTATCTTCCAATCTATGAAAATGAGTTAACTCCTAATAACCTCTGATACTCAACAGAAACACAACTGCACTTTGGAATTAGTCATTCATCTTTATGTCATAGTCTCTTATTTGTCACCACAAAATAGTTGTATAGCAGATATGCCAAAGTGTCATGTACTACCAATAGAATTTCTTTGCAATAGAATTGTTTTAAAATCTATTATTTTGTTTTGACCTGGTTAGCTCAGATCAATTTTTTCCCCTGTATGTTCAGCCTGGAACATCTAAACACAACAGTCAAGTGCTCTGTTAGTCACTGTACAAAATTGTGATGGACTTACTAAAGTTAGTGGCAGTTCCAATTAATATTTCTCTGTCATCATTAAGAAATCAATTTTTCCACTTCCTATCTGTAATATTTTTTGAGTAAAGGAGAATAATGATTAGGTTTTAAGGTTTATTTTTCTATATTTCTTAAGTTATTTTTACTAAATTAAGCCAAGCCTCATTTTTCTAATATGTAAATTGATTGTCAGGATATAGTATAAAAAATCTAAAGTGCTTAGCATAGTGTATTATACATAGCAATTGTTTCATAGATGGCAGCTCTTGTCATTTTTATACTGTGCAGTGCTTCTGTCCTGCTTCACATGGCATGTAAAATAGGTGATGAGTTTGGGGAGATATCTTCCACATATATTATACCACATTTGCTCTACTTGATCCACTGAGCAAGAGAGGAGAATGCCTCTTCTTTGGCACACAAAATTCACTGAATATGGAAGAGTTTGGCATTCTCATTTTGTTTCACAAGAAAGTCTTAAGTCTTTCAAATGTCTTTGTACAAAGTAAAAGTTATAAGCAAAATATAAAAGGATGATGTTATTTATTACTAACAGAAACAGGCTTCTTTGAACATCCTATGCTGAAATGACTGTTTAGTACTGTGATTCATAGAAGCTTTCTAGTCCAAAGCAAATGCTCAAATGAAACAGCATTTATTTTATTAGGCAATACTGATACATCTTTTATTGATTGGACTCTGGTAAACACTTGACAACAAATGGTACTTTACCCAAAGAGACACGTATCATGCATGCATAACATAGTCTAACCACAAGTTCTATGTAACTGTGAGCCTCAAATGGAAATACAAAAGACAGTTTTCACAGAATCACATATGAATCAAACCAGTCTTTAATTTAAATATATAAGAATGTAAAGTTTATATGTCTATAAAGGCTTTATATAACTATGTATGTAATGCAGATACTGTGGAGCACATAGAAATCCATTCAAATGTAAAGCAGCAAAGCACTTTCATATTACCTTGTATTTATATTTCCTGTTATTCATAAAAACTTCTATTTCTTCAACAAACATTTTTCTAGGAATGGCCTTTTCTGTTTACCCCAGGAAAACTTACTATTTATACTTTTAAAGTGGTAGTCACAGCCAAACATTTTATTTTTGTATAGGTACTTTAGCCATGATTTGTATATGAAACTTAGGATAGCAAATAAAGTTTTAATCTCAACAGATGATAAAGACAAACAATTTTCACCCTTCAGTTCTTTATACAAAAATGTATTTCAAGAGGTAATATGCTTAACTTGGGAGGTTTAAAAATTTTATATTTCATTTTATGACCCTATTAAGTTGGCTGTTTTTTATCTGGGTTATCTAAAAGATACAAGTTTAGGGTTAGGAGTCTAGAAAAGGGTTTTGAGAAAGAGGAGGGAAGATTTAAGAACCCATTTTATACTTAAACATGGCTGTAAGTATTTTCAAGTTCATTCAAATAGCCCTTCACCAGTACCTTATTCCCTGACAAAACATCCCCACAGGCACCCCCGGCCCACACCAACCAGCTCATTTTAGTAGGTTTTGCTCATAGCAGGTTTCTCTTGCAGGAGTTTTCAAGGACAAGAGTTGGTTCAGTTAGTATAGTCTTAGCCATACTAGGATATTCACTTTAATTCTAGAGAAATTTCCTAATTAATTTTCTGTAGCAAAAGTGCTAAGGGCTAGAACTCCGCCTCTGAATCTCTTCCTAGAAATGGGATTCAGAAAGCATAAGGGACACCATCTAGCCACTCCAAGGACTCAGACAAGTGTTTCCTGTCATAGAAATAGCTAGAGGTCTACTATAATCTCCTCAATTGGCCTGCTAGGACATTAATGATAGACAGTGCTGATATGCTACAACCCCATTAATTTCACACATAAAGAGAACCATCTAGTTTTCAAAATGGAAAGCTCTAGCTACTATAACATTATTTTGAAGTGGTTGGTGGTGATACAACTTAAAAACTTAAAAATAAATCCTAAAATTCAGAGTGATTTTTAAATAATAGCATACACATAGTATAAAAAAATTCCAAGGTGACCATAAAAGACAAAATAAAATTCAATTCAGTTTAGCTTAGTTTGAGAATCCTCACCACCCTCCCACATAAAGTGACAAAATGTACAGATAAGCACTTAATATAGAATGATAATGACTATGTATTGAGCAGAAAAGTATCATCACCAGTTTTTCTCAAATGTCCTTCAACAATTCTGAATTTATAAGAAGGTAGACCGGTTTAGCTCTCAAAAGTGAAAATTTTCTTGATTTTTCCTTCTTAAGTAAAAAAAAAAAAAAAAAAATTAAATAGAGCGAGAGACCGAAAACTACAGCCCACCTAAGTTTAATCATTAATAGTAAGTTCTTTGGTGAACTTTGGTCCTCATTTTGGAGTTTGGAATCTGACCTTTCCCCAAAGATAAACATGCTTGTTGCAGGTTCTGAGGAGGGTCACTGCCTCACTGCCATCAGAAGAGTCCACTTCTCAGTGACTCCTAGCTGGGAACTGGATGCATTAGACGGTGGCTAGGCAATATGATTCTCCTCGCCGTGCTTTTTCTCTGCTTCATTTCCTCATATTCAGCCTCTGTTAAAGGTAAGTTTGTGTTTTTGCTAAACTTCAATGTTAATCATTGAGCGAAAAATTGTGTGTGTGTGTGTGTGAATAGTGAAAAAGTTCCTAACTAAACCATCTTCAAAACTACATAACTTTGGAATATTCGTAAAGGCATGCCTGGGTGGAATGGAAACCAAATTCAAATTCCTACATACATTAAGAAAACAGAGATTCCTTTTAGTTTCAGCCCCTTAGACTAATGTGCTCCTTGCTTCAATTTCTCATTCGTAGTCTATTTTTAAAAGGGCGAAAAGAAATGCCTGCTATTGTTACCTGCTGCGGTTGGTCACTCACTGAATGCAGCTCCTTCATTTAAATTGTAAAAGAGGATTTTAAAAAAACCAGTCTTTAAATTTCCTTCTAGTTGCTTAGCAATGTGACATCAAGAAGAATTAGACCCAATGAAAAAGGCATTTGATTTGCCAAAGAATTATGAATGAAATGGTAAAGCATGCATTTAATTGCATTACCATTCAAAAGTGAAAATTATCATAATTGGTGAATTAAAGAAAATAAAACTACATGGTATAGATTTAAGAAATAAGACTTATTATCTTTGGATTAATAGTGTTGCTAGTTATAGTTTCTACTTTAAGAAATGTGGATTTTAAAAAATACGTATGAATTGATACCTTTCAGAACAAACATATTTTATAAGGGATGGTTTATAAAAGCTGAATGAAATGTATTAATATAGAATTTTGTTTTAAACCACCTAGAATATAAACAAACTCCTTGGATTTCTAAATATTGCACCTGATGTAAAATAATCACTTTTAGAGTCTCTTAAGAGGGCACACTGTAAAAACCAATTGATCTAACACATAACTTAGCATGATAGGGTCCAGTTTTAATAACTATGTACTCTAACTGATATAAAACAATTCACTTATGAACTTCTAAAAACACTTTTGGGATAACTAGCTTTTGATCGTAAAATTTGTCTCAAGATTTCTCTTGAGAGACAATCTTTGTTATTGAAGCAATAAATGCAAGGCCAAATTTAAATTATTTCATGTAAGCAAATCACACTTTAGGTTCTTGAACTAAAGATAGTATTTTTCACCAAGTGTTTATTATTTAAAAATACAGTCCTTACTTGGTATTATCTGCCAAATAAATTGTTGAGTGTTTAAAATCTGAGGGATTTATACATCATAATATCAAATCTAATGCCCTTATATAATTTTGAGAAAAATTACTGAACTATAGTAGTTATTTTCTATTTTTTCCCACTCTATAAAGGAGAAAATTGGATAACTTGATGTTTTCCAATAAATGCACTTCTGAACATTCTAAAACACACACACACACACACACACACACACACACAAAACAATGACATACAGGAAATACAGTTTAGAACATGACAGATAGCTACAGTTTGTTGTGTACAAGCTCAGTGGCAACTCCAGAGTTTTAGAACCTGAAGCTTATGCAATTTAGGGGCCATTTTTGAGAAAAGATTGCAAAAATATCTTACTTTTGCAAATGTTACTGTAAAAAAAGATATGGCATGTGTACACATTGCTAGGGTCCCCTTTCAAGACCTTGGAAAGAGCTTAGGGGTGTGAGGGCCCTAAAGCTTAAGCATCATTAGCTTCATGCCACAAGCTACTTATGCCAAATGTCATAAATAAAAAGTAGAGGACTTGACAGCTCTCTCTACCTGGATGTGATAACTTTTTGTATTGTGGTACCATGATTTCATTATAGATTCCTCGCCCTCTGTAATGATTGACATTTAAGAAACAAACTACTTGTAAAAGTCTATTTTAAAATCAGGCCATTATAAATTTTGGGATCTCATGTATCACCTCAAAACCCATCTCAAACCCAATTATAAATGCAACTGTTTAGCAAATCCCCAGATCTGGGTGGATTCTGAGTGCAGGTTGGACTGAAGAGAAGTAAGGGTAGGATTAGTATGGACTAGGGTCTACTTAGAAGAGATAGACTGAGTGTGAATGTCCTAAAGACTCAAGTTTTCCCTACTTTTTTTCAATTGTATTTTGTCATGGTGGATCTATTCTCAATGCTTTCCTTAGGTTTTCTTTATAGTACTTTTACTTTTCCTAACCCAGGCATGAGTGTTCTATTTAATCTTCTTACCTCTAAACCCGAACTGTCCCTTCACTTCCAGTCTTTCTCTCAGTTCTTAGCCTGACCTGTACATTTCAGTCCATTCACGTTAATCATCTTCCAATCTTTTTCCCCTATCCTTCATCCTACTCTTTTACTTTTTGCTTTATAGTTTTCTGTTGGAATCCTAAATCCCATTACCTATCCTTATCACTATTGCATGTGTCTTTAAATCTCACCTTGAATTTACCTAATTTTGATAAATGCATATTTTAAGATATTTCTTTTTTTTAATAATTTTTTATTGTTCTGTTAATCACCATACAGTACATCATTAGTTTTTGATGTAGTGTTCCGTGATTCATTGTTTGTGCATAACACCCAGTGCTCCACGCAGAACGTGCCCTCTTTAATACCCATCACCAGGCTAACCCATCC